ATTGTTGGGGGCAATATGCTGACTCTGTAAACCGCTTAGAGAGGGCTGAAAGCCCTATGAAGTGGTATATAAGTCTAACTGCTATTGCTATTGCTATATTCATTCCTTCTCACTCATTCATTCATTTGATTCATATTTGATCAATGCACACGCTCCCACGTTGGCAGCAGTGGTGAAATTCAAAGATTTTCCCTACCGGTTCTATGGGCGTGGCTTGGTGGTCATGTGACTGGGTGGGTGTGGCTTGCTGGTCATGTGACCGGGTGGCCATGGCTGCACAACTGACTCACAAACAATGTAAAAGCAGCTGGACTTCACACAAAATGGCCCCTGCAACAAGCAAGAACCTCACAAAGTCACAGCTCAAATACCAACGATCACACTTTACACAAAAATAACACAAAAACTAGACAACTGACTCACACACAATGCAAAAGCAGCTGGACTTCACACAAAATGGCCCCCGCAACAAGCAGGAGCCTCACAAAGTCACAGCTCAAATACCAACGATCACATTTTACACAAAAATAACACAAAAGCTGCACAATTGACTCTCACACAATGCAACAGCAGCATTCACACAAAATGGCCCCTGCAACAAGCAGGAACCTCACAGATAATCAGGCGCAGCTGATTGTCGTACAGTTGATCGTCTGAACTTTTAAAAACTTTTTAAAGCTTTATTTTTTACTACAGGTTCGGGCAAACTGGCCCGAACCGATAGCATTTCACTCCTGGTTGGCAGCTATGGAAAGAGTCATTAAATTCAGGGAGCTTTAGAAAAACAACTTGTTTCTACCCTTCAATCACTCAAGAAGACATTTTGAGTTGAAGATAGGCTACCCTCCAAGGGGGCATTTCTGCTAAAATGACTAATAACGTTTGTGGTTGAGACAAAACCTGGAAATTCAGCCGGATTCTACATATTCCAACTTTCTGGGTCTCCCAAAACTCCCAAGATTCTTCCAGACTATGGAGTTTTCCTTATAACAAATCTCAAAAGCCCAAAGCTTGAACATTTTGGGGGGGGGCGGGGGGGATTCTTGCAAGGTGTGATCAAGAAACCACACACTGTGGTGTGATGTTTAAGCTCTCCCCTTTCCTTTTTTTTTTTTTTCCTATGACACATGTTGACCCCTAGATAGGAACTGTCTTTGACATTTTTCTGTTTTCCTTTTTCTCCTGTCTGGGATCCAATTTGATAAATTCTAAAATGGAGGTTGTCTCTTGGTTAGGTGAGTTTCCTCAGATGCCTTCAAATGGATCGCTGTCCCCTAAAGAAGAACCTGATGGGAATTCGCCTTCCTTTGAACAGAGTACGTATTAGTGGAACGATATAAAACTAGTCGTAAAATTCTTCCCTGTAGAGCAGGGGTCTCCAACCTTGGCAACTTTACGACTGGTGGACAGTCAATTCCCAGAATTCCTCAGCCTGCTGAGGCTTATGGAATTCGGGGAATTGAAGTCCACCAGTCGTAAAGTTGCCAAGGTTGGAGAGCCTTGCTTGCAGAGGAGGGACTTAAGGGGAAAATCAGTAAAATGGGCCTAAGATCCACAACTAGAAGCTGGAGCAGTGTTTCTCAACCTTAGCAACTTTGAGATTGGTGGACTCCCAGTTCACCCAACTTATAAAGTTGGTAAGATTGAAAAACACTGGGATGGAGCAGGTCCTTATATATTTCTTCCAGCAGGTAAGGTGTGGTGGGGAAGGCTAAATCCTACATTTCCTTTTGTTTTTTTAGTTCTATATTTTGTCCTGGAATACTGTGCATTGTATACAACTGTAACTTTTAGTTCACTTCACTTGGCTCCTCCCCATCCAGATTCGTATAATCCAGGGGTGTCAAACTCAATTTCATTGAGGGCTACATCAGGGTTGTGTTTGACCTTGGGGTGTGTGTGTGTGTGTGTGTGTCAGGGTGGGCGTGGCTAGCTTAATGCCACTCATTTCAGGTAATTCTTGTGGTGGGCCGAATGCTCTGCCAGCGAAAACGGGCTCCCGAGCTCCATTTTCGGCTGCGATGGCTTCCTGCAACCCTCTGCCAGCAAAAACGGAGCTCCAGAAGGCCTCCTGCAGCCCTTACAAGCTCTGTTTTCGCTGGCAGAGGCACCGCGGCTCGACTCTTTGCTGTTTCCATGGCAGCCCTACAGGCCAGATCTAAGCGCCCCTTGGGCTGGATCCAACCCCTGGCCCTTGAGTTTGATACCCCTGGTCTAATCAGAGAAAAAGAAATGAAACAGCACCTTTTTCCCTCAAAAAAGGGGGTGAAAATCTGGGTGCGTCTTATACACTGAATACAGCATTTTTTGCCTCTTTTGAAAAGCCTTTAGGAAGCTTCCAGAGTGCTCCTGGGGGCTCAGGAGGGCAAAAATGAGTGAAAACTGCCTGTTTTTTGCTCATTTTAGCCCATCCAGCCACCAGGAGCACTCTATAAGCCTCCTAAACACTATGCATGCCCTTTTTTTTGATGAAAAAACGAGCCTGTTTTGGCAAAAAACGTGCCAATTTTGGGAGGTCTGCAGGTTGCAAATACCTTTTTTTTTTTTAATTTGCCTCTTCAAAATCTTGGTGCGTCTTACACTCCGAAAAATACAGTACTTATTAAAAAAAATAATGGCAGGATAAAAATATTTAACAATAAATCTAATAATAAACTGCAGATTTGGTTGGTGTTTCAGCCTTTGCCTTTTTTTTTAAAATTTCTGGTTACCAGGTATTAATGAAATGACTCCAGGAATCTCTACGCCCACCGGCCCTTTCCGGCATATCAGCTTGTCCAGAGCTGCCCAAACCCACCGGCTGAGGAAGCTGCGGACCCCCTCAAAATGCCGGGAGTGCAACAGTTACGTTTACTTCCAGGGAGCTGAATGTGAAGAGGTAGGATGGGTGCTTGGGTAAAAGGGAGACAGTACAAAAAGTAGAGGCACACCTCAGAGATACAGGTAGTCCTCGACTTACGACAGTTCATTTAGTTCCAACTTCCACAATTCCCCAACCTGCCTTGGGAAACACTACCTAACAACAACAACAACAACAACAACAACGAAAGAAAGCCCTTTGGTTAATGGCATATTGCCACCCAGTGGCTCTTTCTGGAACTGCACAAACTCCCTAACCCTACATCTGTTTTACTTCCACCTCCTTTGCTTCTTCCCTCTTCTTCCCCAGTGTTACTTAGCCTGCCACAAGAAATGCCTGGAGACCCTGGCCATTCAGTGCGGACACAAGAAACTCCAAGGCAAACTGCAGCTCTTTGGACGGGACTTTGCTCAGGCTTCCCACACCGGCACTGATGGCATCCCCTTCATCGTCAAAAAGTGCATCAATGAGATCGAAAGGCGGGCCATGAAAACAAAAGTAAGAGCTGGAGCACCATTAATGAAGGAAATGTATTTACAGAGGGGAAGGTTTTCCTCTGCCCCAGAGCCTGGGAATTGTGCCATCAAGTTAGAATCCTAGTAGTTGATGATCCCTCATTTTCGAAGACTGCAGTGATCACTCCAAAGCTGGGGTGGGATTCAGCCGGTTTGGACCGGTTCGGATGAACCGGATGCTAATTTTGCATCTGGTTCACTGAACCAGTAGTTGGAAGGACTGGCTGCCCATCCCTCCCCTCCCAGGAGTCTCCATGCAGCCCATTTTGGATGCCAGGTAAGTACAGGGCCCACGTGAGCCTCTGGGAGGGCGAAAAACGGGCCTCCCTGAAGTTCTGGAAGTCTGGAAATGGGTTCAAAGGGTTCACCGACAAATGCGCACTCGACAAAAGCGCGCCCGATGAAACCACGGCGAGAAAACTGCGAGTTCTAAACCGCGCCGACAAATGAGCGCAGAAGCGCGCCGACAACAGCGCGCCGACAGAAGCACGCTCTAAACCTAACCCTAAACCTAACCCTAACCCTAACCCTGAACCTAACCCTAACCCTGAACCTAACCAGAACCTAACCCTAACCCTAAACCTAACCCTGAACCTAACCCTAACCCTAAACCTAACCCTGAACCTAACCCTAACCCTAAACCTAACCCTGAACCTAACCCTGAACCTAACCCTTACCTTAACTTAAATCGCGCTTCTGTCGGCGCGCTGTTGTCGGCGTGCTGTTGTGGCCACGTTGATGACATCGCGTTTTTTGCGCCGCGGTTTCGTCGGCGTGCTTTTGTCATGCCCGCATTTGTCGGGTCACGGGTTCAAAGAAAGCCCTCGGAGCCTGGGGAGGGTGAAAACTCTCCCTCCGGCTGTGGTGCAGGAGACGGAATAGGCCACACCCGCCCAGCAATTGGGCAGAGAACCAGTTGCTAATTTTTTTGAATCCCACCCCTGCTGGAAAGGAATCTGGTTGTGCTTTGCTCGGCTCTGTTCTGTTTTGCTGGGGTTTTCCAACTTTGGCCAGTTTAAGAAGCATGGACTTCAACTCCCAGAATTCCCCAGCCAGTCATAGTATCTGGGAATTGAAGGCCACCTCTCTAAAAAGCGGCCAAGATTGGGAAACCCTGCTGTAAGGCCTCCAGTAGATGTGCTAAAGAGAGTGCAAACAAGCTGTGTTTAACTCTGATCTGTCATGTGAGAGAAAGGAAGAATGCCTAGGGAGTAATTCTACGCACTATTTAAATAGTGGGAAGCAAACTTATTTTTTGCTTTCTTCCTGTCCGCTTTTGGCACGCAACCCCTGTAAAATGGTTGCCCAGCTTCTGTTGTAAAAGCTTGGGGTGGTTGTAATATTTTTTTTCCCAATCACACCGTTATAATTACTGTGGTACACTTTTACTTTAATCTTATTTTTGTTTTATTTGGTTTGTCAACCATGTACAAGATAACCAGTAGAAGTATAAACATGGACATGAACAAAGGAAATGTAAATGCCTGGAATGCTCTACCTTGGTATGGGGACCTGTGGACTTCAACTCCTAGAGTTCCTCAGCCAGCAAAGCTGAGGAATTCTGGGAGTTGAAGTCCGCAATTCAAAGCTGGCTGAGGAATTCTGGGAGTTGAAGTCTGCAAGTCTTAAAGTTGTGGACTTCGAAGCTGGCTGAGGAATTCTGGGAGTTGAAGTCTGCAAGTCTTAAAGTTGTGGACTTCGAAGCTGGCTGAGGAATTCTGGGAGTTGAAGTACGCAAGTCTTAAAGTTGTGGACTTCGAAGCTGGCTGAGGAATTCTGGGAGTTGAAGTCCACAAGTCTTAAAGTTGTGGACTTCGAAGCTGGCTGAGGAATTCTGGGAGTTGAAGTCCGCAAGTCTTAAAGTTGTGGACTTCGAAGCTGGCTGAGGAATTCTGGGAGTTGAAGTCCGCAAGTCTTAAAGTTGTGGACTTCGAAGCTGGCTGAGGAATTCTGGGAGTTGAAGTCCGCAAGTCTTAAAGTTGTGGACT